CCTTTAATCCCAGCACTCGGGAGGCAGAGGCAGGTGGATCTCTGTGAGTTCGAGGACAGCCTGATCTCCAGAGCAAGTGCCAGGATAGGCTCCAAAGCTACACAGAGAAACCCTGTCTCAAAAAAACAAAAAATAAAAATAAAAAAGTGAGTTGATCAGGGTAGGAGGGGATGTAGGCAGGAACTAGGAGGAGTAGAGTGAGGGGAAATTGTAATCAGAATATATTGTAGGGAAAATTTTATTTTCAATAAAAGAAAAACACATATTTCTTAAGAATCAGAGTTTATGGATGTTCCTAACATATATGTTTGTTACATTCACAATTATATACATTTCATATGCCTCACATTATAAAGTTAACTTTATGCCTCTTGATTTTAAGGGATAGAAGCAATACAGACATTTCTTTCTAAGAAATATCAGACTGAGTTTGTCAGTCAATATTAAGATTAACACCAACTTACTTGATTCTTGGGCACCCCAGAGGAAATAGTCAAAGTGATAGCAGCAGGAGAAAACAAGCTATGACATCGTATTGAATTTTGGTATCAATTTTCTCAAGTTTCCATCAATAAAAATACAAGAATCACCTGACTTAAAACTAGTTTCATGAAGAGCATGCCTGTGTTAAAGTCTTGTTTTGGCACCTTGAAAAATATTCACATAAATATATATGTATTTTACTCATTATTTTTGGTTGTGCTTGGGATAGGACTCAGGTTTTCTTCCTCTTAGGGAAGTACTCTACCACTAAGCTGCATGCCTAGCCCTCTTAGGCATCTGTAAAGTCACATGATTAGAGCTCCACACCAGCCCCCATACTCAAGTGGACAAAGCTTTCTGAAACTGGACTTTGTTGACATTTACTCATACTTACCTAATAAAGGGGAGACAAAATGCTTTGTTTGTTTGTTTGTTTAAATGAAAAACTCCAAATCAAACACAATAGGTTAAACTATAAACTCAAATTCAAAACATTGATTTTCATCATCTGACAAAATATTTCAAACTCTTAGTTTTCTTCTTTCTTTGTCTACTTTGAGATGATCTTTCTATGTAGCCCAGGCTGTCCTGGAACTTGCTATGTAGACCAGGCTGGCCTTGAACTCACAGAGATCTGCCTGCCTCTGCCTTCCTAGTGGTGGGATTAAAAACATCCAGCACCACACTTGGCATGGAACCTTGATGTTATAAAGCATTGCAGTTTCTCTATCCTGTAGATAACATTCAAAGATCCATTTCCTTTTGACTATGAAATTAAAGTGAATAAACAAAAAATTAGTCTTCTTTGTTACAGTAAGCAGTGAAAACAACACCTAAAATGCCTTGGAATAAAACAGTTCAAGTTCAACATTTTTTTCTCACTCAAGGGGCTGGGTTAAGAAATAGATACTGTCATTGAGAAAGATTTACTCTGTGTAGCTAGTGAAAAATTCAAAAAACAACTATATGGGCTGTTTGTCCAGATGTACTTTGTCTGTCCTATGATGACATCAGACTCAGCCTGCATAACTGTGTAAGTCCTGTCTTAATTTTTCATGGTGATAAGTACATAAGAATGCTCAAAGTGCCTTTATTGAATGTGTGCATGAATGGGCAAAAGAATGGTACCCTTGGTCCCTGGAAAATCTTTCATTCACTGCTGTTGAAATTAATTAAGCCTGGAAATTCCCTGGACCATCCCTACAGGTTCCATCTCCCATCTTCAGTATCTCTCAAAGCCTGGATGCTCAGCGTGGTCCCTGTAGGCTAGGCCAGTACTGCTCAGTGCCTTGTTAGAAATGAACCAAGAATCCAAGTTGGACAAGGCCTCAGATGGCTTAAATACATGTTAGCACTTGAGAAATCAAATTTATTCATATTTATATGCTACCATTCTTGAAAAGACTAGGGAACTTTAAAGCCTTTTTTGCTGTTACTTTTGCTGTTGCTAGTTGAGAAAGGGCTTTACAGTGTAGCTCAGGCTGGCCTTGAACTTGAGATTCTCCTGCCGCAGCTTCCCAAATGGAGGGATTACAGATTTGTGTCACTATGCCCACTGAATACAAGTCTTCAGAATTGGAAATTTTATGTTTTGGTCTGCCATCCCTTGCTTTTTCATCAACAGTTTTTTGTTTTGATTGTTTTATTTTTTAATGCTGAAGTCATGAAAAACACAGATTTGTGCTTGCTTACAGATTTCCTCCAGGGTCATCATAGTGCGGAATGGGATCTATGTCTAGGTGGAGACATGCCGTCATCTCCTCTCTTAAACCTCTAGTTAATCCAGTAGATGAGTTCAATCCTCTGGCCAATGGACCACCCCTCAGGAAGGTGGCTCTACCCTAAGCCATGCTAACAAGGGAGGAGGAATAATGGATTTTCTAAGTGTGTCAAGAGAGATCTGCCTGCCTTTCTGAGTTTAGCTCACAGTGCATCACTTTTCCTGATATTTTTCTCTTTTCTGTTTGTCTTTTGGATGCTGGCTGGGGTCTGATATGCTTTTTCTGGTGCTTTGGGTTTCCTTACATTTCTCTAAGGCTCCCTTCCTCTGTGCTGACGATTTTTTGCTGGCTTAACTCAAACAGCATGGACCTTTTTCCCTCCTAAGTTTCTACCTTTGAATCTATAAACAAGACAAACAAACAAAAAACTCTCTCTAAAACTCACCTTCTCTGGTCTGTGTATTTTATTCTTCTAACTCATGAGATAAGAACCTGTAAACCACTGGCTTGGGCAGCTTTTGTGGTCACTGAGTTTCCAGGACCCTAGATTCCTGGAAAACTGTCACTGTCAAAAACACGCTGATATTCCAGTATCACTTTAGTCCTACTTTAAATAATAACACTAATTTATGGTTATTAGCTGTTAAGCTAATTTAAATCACATACTATGACTTTTCCCTTAATATAGGCCAGTCATCAGAAGTTCTGGTTTGTATCTGTGCTTTGGGGTAGAAGTGGCCCTACTAAGATCTTTTATAATTTGGCTAGTTGACAACTGGAGAGTTGAATTTGTTCCCCCTTCATTGGGGGAAGGGTGATAGCTCTAGCCAACCATATCTGCTTATTCGTCATTTCTGTGTCATGATGGCAGAAGGTACCTCTCTTTGTGCTAGTAAAGTGGTTAGACATCTCTCCACATCTTTGTGTTAGACCCTTTGTCTTTTCCATGTGCTACTTGAGGCATCTATCTAATCTCTGTACGGACTATTATGGGGGAACAATATTTACATTGGGGCACAAATGCTTTATGGGAGTGATTAAGACTCACCTTCTAGCCCATAATAAATATGGTATCCTAGGCAGGTCCACTTTATAGGTCTTGGGGAAAATAAAAGATAGCCTAAGGCCCAATCACCTTATAATCTAGAGAATAGCTAGATGAAACCCACCAGAAAAATTAAAATCAACCTCGTACACTTCAATATACTGAGTAGAATTAATACTTGTTCATCAAATCGCATGGGCCGAGTGCATTTTAGTGAATATTATTTATTTCAAATTCATGAAGAGTCAGAAAAAAAAAAAAAACTTTTCCCTCTTCAGTTTTGCAGATGAAGTACCTTGCCCACAAAGAGGTTAAATGTCAAGATGACACCCTGTGCTGCCTCTGGTTACTGCAGTTAAGGGATTCACTAGCAGAGTCAACAGGCCACAGGGAGGAGGTCTGCTGGTTTCAAAAACTTTTCCTTGTCACATCTTATGACCTAATCATGTTTAGAAGTCATTCTGGAATTGTTCCACCACTGAGTATGAGTTGTTCTTGGAAAAGTCTAGATTTCATAATGGGAATGCCAACCTTCAGCAAGAAGTTGCCTCCAGCTTGAAAATAAGGAGCAGACATTAGAGAAAAAAATGACATATTTACATTGAGAGGTCAGACCTCTCAATGACAAGGCACACAGTGGGTTTGTTGCTTCCTTTTACTGACCTCACCTAGATGGCAATAGTAAGAATAATGTCAAGAAAATAGAGAGAATGAAAATAATTGTCTATAAATTCCTAAATAACAAGCTGAAGAAAAAAATAAGATTTTATTTTATATTTAATACACCTTCCCTTTTCTTTTGGGAGGGCTGATTCGAGAATGCATATCAAAAATCCTTATGATCTGTATTTTCATCTGTGGCTTTGTGACTGGTACTTCTGCTACTACATGAAGTGCCTACATGTTAACACACTATTCATTTCTTCTTAATAACTGTTTATTGTGGCTTGTTTTGCCCTACAGATTATATAGACATTTGCATTAAGTTCAGTCATGATGGATCAGGCTTCTGCAGGAGGGGCTTTCAATCCAGAGATACTCAGTATGAATGGTACAGGTTTTGAGAACTTTGCTATTAATACAGTTGGAACATCCAGAAACTAACCATTTCATTCATGATCATATTTTTAATTCATTTTTCCAGAATAAATATACATATGTTTAAAATAATTTATAGTAACTTAGAGTTGCCATTCTGATGTCATTTTTTGTACTATTTTTCTACCAATATTTTAATTTAAATTTACCACATATTTAATTAAAAAACTATAAGGTCAAATTTCAGAATTATTAGTTACTGCAAACTGGAATAAGACACTCTTCTAGCTGACTGAATATTCTCTTTAGTTTTGGAGGTTTTGGAGAAAAACAAACAAACAGTAAAAAACAAACTCATGGGCTACTTTAGGGAACTTACAAAAAAGTGACCCTAAAGGGCAACCTTTGAGTTAATAAATTCCCCGTATGAGAAAAAATACATTAATTTACTGAGTAAATTTGGAAAAACCATGATGAGAAAATTTAAAATATATGGCATGTACACATAGATATAACTAGAAAAGTAAATCACCAATGTTAAAAAAAAAAAATCTAAATCAGCCCAAACCAAACCAAACAAACAAAAAAACCACAAGAGAGTCCAGACACTAAGGAGCTACATGGTCTTAAGTCCCTAACTTCCAGAATATATCCAGTCATAGAGGAAGCAGGGGCTCTGCAGTGTGGTGTGGAATGAAACATATGCAGACTACCTTTCTTGGCGAGGCTGCTGTTGGGTTCGTACTTCTCAATCAACACTTGGACCTGCTCTTGCTTCAGAGGTGGGTAAAGTATCTCATTGAGCCTGGGGTCTCTCTGCTTAAGGTTGATGAAATCCATCATCTGCTCCACAGTAAGGTACGGTTTGCTTTTGGCACCACTGAAAGCAACAAAGACACAAGAAATTATACCACATTCCTCATTTTATTTATGCACTTAGCTACAGAGAAATCATAACTGCATCATAACTCGAATTATGGAATTCCAATTCTCCAATGGAATTCTGACCTTGCCCTAAAAACATGGGTCTTCCACCCCACGTTCTCAAAGTTTGATGGACTGACACTTTTCCACCCAACTCTAATGCCTAGAAAAGTATCAGATGACTAACATTGTCCTTGATCACACTTACCACTTAAATATTGCTGATTCATTAATTTAGAAAGAAAAAAACCAATGTGCTTGTAAATATTTTTCTTTTCTTTAAAGTTACAGGTTTATAAGAGTCTACACCTCTCATTTGCTTGAGGTTGTTTTTGGAAGTGGGGGCTCACTCTGTATTCCTCATTACGTTGGTGCACACTACAGTCCAGGTTGGCTTCAAGTTCCCAGTGGGCCTCCTGAGTCAGCTTCTTTCAGATAATGATAATGATTTATACTATCATATAGATGTAGAACTAAACACATAATCTTATTGTATCCTTAAAATAGCAGTGCTATTGAATAATGCTATTCCAATGCCCATTTCAAATTTATTGGCAACCCACAAAAATTCAGTGTTATAAATATTGTGGATACTCAATAAATGTGAGTATTTTATGGTGATGAAATCACAAAGCAAAAGTGCTCAGTGTACAACGTCACACTCAACCTCAGGACTTATCTGCCTGCTACTTTACTTCCTTTACCAAATTTGGATCAACTTTTTGTCATTATGTAGACTTTGATATATCAAGAGAGATAAATTGCAATTTCCATTTAATTGTTTCTTTTCTCTTTTCACATCTGAGTCTCTTTAAGAAGCAATACATGGGCTGGAGAGATGGCTCAGTGGTTAAGAGCACAGACTATTTTTCCAGAGGACCTGGGTTCAATTCCCAGCACCCACATGTCAGCTCACACCTGTCTAATTTCAGTTCCAGGGATTCTGACACTGTCATACAGATATACATGTAGGCAAAACACCAATGAACACAACATAAAAAATAAGTATTAAAAAAGCCAGATGGTGGTGGCACACACTTTTAATCCCAGCACTCGGGAGGCAGGTGGATCTGTGAGTTTGAGGCCAGCCTGGTCTACAGAGCAAGTTCCAGGACTGATCAGAGAAACCCTGTCTTGAAAAAAAAAGTACTTACAAAAGGAAGCAATACCTACAGGCTGGAGAGAGGATTCAGAAGTTAAAGGCACTTATTCTTGTAAAGGTCTCAGATTCAGTTCCCAGCACTAACATAGTGGCTCACAACTGTCTGTAGCTCAGTTTCAGGGAATCTAACCCTATTTTTCTGGCCTCTGAGAGAACTAGGCATACAAATGGCATATAGGCATCCATGTAGGCAAAACACTCATGCTTATTAAATAAAAATAAGTATAAAAAAGCAATGCCTATATAAAATTAGAGAAAGCAATATGCTGTCTATGTGGGTTCTTAGTAATCTATATTTCTTTATACTGATATATTTCAGAGGGATACAACCAGTAGTGTTCAGTCAGGATTCTTTCTGTTACATGAATCTTCCTTCTGTATATCGGTACACTTCCTGCTGTATCTATAATAGTCCATCTAAATGAAGCCAATGGAGCATCTGAAAATGACACCCTACCATACATGTATTCTAGTAAATATCTGCTCAGTAAAACAGTCATTGCTTGTCAAGCTCAAAAGCACATTATCACCTCCATCACACCACCCAGAAGCACTGCTTTTGGACAGTCTCCTTCCAGTCCAAACAAAATCCTACCCAAGCCACTCCGAGTATCAATGCAGGCCAGAAAAAGTAGATTAAAATGCATTCTCTTACAATTCAGAAAAGATGTTATCAATTTCAGGTCTCGGACAAAGATTGTTCAGGAAAACTCTGTACACATCTGGAGTGAAGTCCTCTTGAGGTATAGAATCGTTCTGGGAAGTAAAACAACAGGGTAAGCAAGAGGGCTCAGACTTTAGCTTCCTTTCCAATTTTTCTTTGCCCCTCCCTCCCCTCCTTCCCTTCCTCTCTTCTCTTTTTTTCCAAACCAGAGTAAATATCAAGCACACATCTCTGAGGCCCACTGTAGCCTTCATTTAGCACCTGACTTTGGTATGTTTTAAAGCTTAAGAATTTTATCCTGCTAAACAGATGTTAAGACAATTTCCTAAATATATTTCCTAAAGTTGCATGTAGGAAGACAGAATCTGTTCAGTAGAGATGTTTAACTTGCCTGTCTGTCCCTCCCTCCATGTGAGTATACATGTGTGCACACATGAGCATAGGGAGGACAGACCTTCGGTGTTGTTCCTTGGGAGCCAATGATCTTGTGTGTTGAGACAGGGTTTCTCATAGGCCTGGAATTCATCAGGTAGGTCAAACTGGTTAGCCTGTGAACCTAGTGACCACTTTGTTTGCTTCTCCAGTGTGATGGGGGAGGTCCTTCTGTGGATAGGTTTGTCTTATTGGTTGATAAATAAAGCACTGTTGGCCAATAGGGAAGCAAGTTAGGCTGGACTAGGAGAGAAGGAGGATTCTGGGAAATGTAATAAAGAGGAGTTGCCATGTGATCACCAGTAAGAGAGGAAGCATAAGGCCCTTGTCCTCGGTAAGATAAGGCATCCTTGGTAAGATAAGTCCTTGTAAAAGTATATTGATTAGTAGTTATGGTTGATACTTAACACTGAGCTAGCAAATAAGAAGTCCTAGTCATAGGCCAGCAGCATTGTAAATAATGTAAGACTCTGGGTGTTATTTGGGGCCCTAATGTGGTTGGCAGAACTTGGGTGGCTGGTGGAAAGAGTTATCATTACACTAGTGTTAGGATTACAAGCACGAACCATCATGTCTAGATTGTTTATCTGGGTTGGGGATCAGATTCAGGTTCCTATTCCCTTTGTTGGGCTAAGCACCTTCATAAGTCATTCTTACTCTCCCTGCTCTCTCTGTCTCTGTCTCTGTCTCTGTCTCTGTCTCTCTCTCTCTTCCTCCCTCCCTCCCTCCCTCCCTCCCTCTCTACTCTGTCTTTCTGTTTTAGATTAAGTCTTCCTCTTTAAAAGTGGTGGTAGAAGATATATGGCTTCCTTTGCCATTTTATGCATTTGAAATGGACAGATTAGAGGCATGAAGAATTTGTACACTCCTGTGCCTTTATCAGGCTTTTGAGAGAATGCTTTAAAGGTGATAATCCTGGAGACAATGCTAAAATAAAAATGTAAAATTTAACTTTGTGTCATTTCCCTCTCTCTCTTTAGAAGGAAAGGGTTTATTTCATTTTATACTTCCAGGTAACAGTACATCAGTGAAGAAAGCCGTCAGGAACTCAGCCAGGGTGAATGGATGCAGAATCCATGGAGATACACTGGTTTACATTATTTGACCTGTTATGTTTTTCATAGGTAGTTCAGAACCCATCATCATTTGCTACTGATTGCTTATTGTCTTATTGTTTAGGAAGCGAGTCACTGATGTAAAAGACCACTTCTCTGGCTATGTTTTCTGTTTGACTGGGCTGCCATGGAAACCGGAAGCATGTATTTAAGTCTTTGTTAACAGGAAGGACATTTTTCATGCGGCTTCCCATTTCAGGTATGTGCTTGAAGGATTATTTTTATTTTTAAGTCCCCCAAACACAGAAACAACCTTCCTTTTAAACATGTTCATATATTCTAACTAGATTTTAATAGAAAACTTAAATAATCATCGTCTGAAATTGTACACTGCTTGCTAACATGCCAGAGAATTTAGCTCACCACTTGGCAGATAGTAGAGGCCCCATGTTTGTGGAATGAAGAAAATGAAGTAATATTTTCTTGACTAAGTCCATTTATATGACGGAGAACATAATATCTTGCAAAAATGATTTTTTCAAAAACAAAAGAAAATGCAAGAATACAGAAAACATCTTCATATCCACAGAGTTGGTCTCTTTAGATAGAGCTTTGAAATGATGAGCTCAAGGACTCAAACCTAAGAGCATTGGAACTTCTATTGAAGGGCTTTATTTGTGTTTGGCCACTCATAAGATGGAGATATGAGCAACCTGGTTATAGGATTTCAGAATTCCATTTTGTTTATGAAAAGAAATACCTTTGCCTAGAGGATGCCAGTTTCTGTCTGAGTTAGACACATACTTCTTTCACTCTTCTACATAGGCAAAATGGCTCTACTTACTCAAATATATGAGAACTATTTGACTGTGAGAAGAATATTTAAAATCATCTGCAAAAAAAATATCCAATGGTACTGTTGGCCAACTCAAGGACTGAGTTGTATTTATGAGCCCCAAGTGGGCTATCCCATTCTTCTATTAAATATAGCTCTCTCTGACCTCACCTGGCAGACACAGAAATTGATCTCACCTAAGGGCATCATTAATGGTCTTCCTCGACTTACTGCCCCCTCTTTTCTTGTTTCTCTCTGAACAGCTATACCTTTCACTTGGGCTGCATTTTACCCCAACCCTCTATTCCTGTCTCATTCTGCTCATCTCATATTTCAACACTCCTCTGACTGTATCTTGTCCTTGGCTTCAGATTTCTCTTTGTTCCTTGTGCACAGGCGAGAACTTGCACATTGCATGTTAACTTCCTAGTTTCCAGTGTGTAGAATACAGAAGCTACAGAGTAAATTTTACTAAGTCAACATTATGAGAATGGTGAATTGTGATATCAAGGACTGAATATTGTATTTCCCTTGTAAAAGTAGGCTTAGCTACACTTGTGTGTAGACATATAATTCACAGACATATTTTACTAAACTCTAACCATTGTTTACTTTTTCACCTGTGAACTAGGATTTTCAATTAAAGTGGATAAATAATGAGACAGTCTGAATAAGTGCAATATTATTTTCATTGCATGTTGAAATTCAGCACATGTAAGAATTTTTCATGAAGCTGGTTTTCTTCCTCTTGTTGCTCTCATGCCCAACTGATGGGTGAGAATGTCCCATGGTCTTTGAAGTCAGTGGGTAAAAACAGGAGAAAAAAATATTCCAAAGAATTCGATTGGAGTAAATTATTATCACTGAAAGTATGGTGCAAGCATCTTGGGGAGATATTTACTGAAAGCTACAGGCAATTCTCAGTTTTTTTTCATGTGAAATGAGTCTATAATTCACAGACCTTGTTTATGTACCTTCTCTTTCTATGTCTGTGTTTGGTAAAGAGAAAAGCTGAGTCATTTTACCTTCATGACTAAAGAGGCAGCCCAAAGTCCAGTGTGCTAAGGGTCATGCTCCATGTCTGTTTACTACTCTGTTTTTGATGGTGGTTTTTTTCTTTTTCACACATTTGAGTATTTAAAAAATCATTTTACAGTGAACTTGTGTTTAACATTCAAAGAGTCTTAGAATTTATTTTATTGAAGCAGATCTAATAGAGCCCATAGATTTATTACCATCATTTTTTTTATCATTTTAGTCTATGTGTATGGGTGTTTTTCCGGCATGCACATCTGTGTGCCATATAACTATCTAGTGCCCACAGACCAGAAGGTGTCAGATTCCTTGTGAGTGGAATTACAAATAGTTGTAAGTCACCATGTGGGGCCTGGGTTAGGGTCCTTTGAAAGAGTATCAAGAGTTCTTAACTACTGAGCCACCTCTCTAGTTCTCTCTCTCTCTCTCTCTCTCTCTCTCTCTCTCTCTCTCTCTCTCTCTCTCTCTCTCTCTCTCTTTTCTCTCCTCTATCCTTCCATAATGTTCTCTGAGCTTTGCAGGAGATTCTATGGACCAAGGACAATCCCTTAGATCCATAAAACAAAAGTTGAATTAGCCAGAGCCCATGGAATCACTACAAATAAATTGTTCATTATGAATTGAGCTCTTGTGTGGTTTGAAATACAATTTTGATAAAGTGATTTTAAGAACCACAACCATAAAATGATCATATTTCTGATTTATCTTTGGGAAGTATGGCAATGAACTACAGTTACACAAGAGATGTTCCTTTATAAACTTTATCTATAGCATTCCTTAATAAGGCATGTGCAAATCTTTAAATAGAAGATAACTAATCTCCCTATGTATTAAATGCATACCTACCTACTGCAGTAAAATTTATATCTAAAACAAATATATGGATTTATTTATTTTCTTCATTAAAATGCAACCCCACAGGCCAACATCATGGTAACACTACAGTGTAATTACAAATGTCACCAAGGCCTTCCAAGTTAATAAGCCTTAAATCAAGGGGATTTAGTACTGATAAATTATTTTCAGTTCTCAGAGAGCTTGTGGGTAGAATAGTAATTTTCTGAATATGGAAAGGTTTTCACAGGTCTCACTGGAAAATATGTTTGGATTATTAATAGAAGGACAGTAATTGCTTTGTCTCATTTTAGGTAGTGTATTACTTTTCCCCAATTAGGGTAACTTGAGGCTAGTGACTGTAGTCTCCGAAGGAAAGCCCTCTAAAGCAATGTGTTATTGCAACAGATCATGTCAGCCAGGGTACAAGTTCAAGTGCATTAATTATCCCTAACAATGTGCACAAAGATAATGTTTAAAAAATCTCAACAGGATATCCACAGCATTTCTGGTAATGTGTCTATTTACAGAACACAATTAAGTCCAGTTTGAATGACGGCTGACTAGGAAGCAGACTCCCATCTATGCAGACTTATCAACCATTTATATAACCCGTTCCTTCTGTGGAATGTGTAAAATACCCCTAGGCAATACGCTCTGAATCTTTTGGCTAACAAGTGGCTATTTCTTATACTCACTTTTTTTGTACCTATGAAATTACCACAAGGATTTTTGAAAATTCATTTGATGTGCTGTAGGCAGCTCATAGAACCATTTATTTCCTGGCTTTGAAATGAGTTTTAGTCTTCCTATCTTAAAAAAGCATTTAAATTCTACAAGTCCTCCAGATAAATTATAGTTTACAATGAATAATGATCTTTCAAAACTATAATGGAGGTTGGTTATATCTTAAAATATCCTCAGTTTGTTTTCAGAAAATTGTCATTACATTTAATTTGCTAGAGAGAAGTATTTTTTTTCCATTTTAAACATAACTCCTACCGTCTGAATCTCATTTTCCTTCTAAAATGTCTTCAGTTGATATTGGAATGAAAAATTTAAGCCTATAATAGACATAGTGAATTATAAAGACACAATTTATGTTTATTGACTGAATTGTCAGAATCCAATTGTCCAGAAAATTGCAATTTATAGAGAATTGATTGATAGATTTGATTTTTTTTTCTATTTAGCTTCATTCCGTATTTCTTCTTTCACTCATCTAGATGTAGAAGACAAAGTTAAACTTTTTGATCCTTGTATTTCACAAGATTGTATCAAGAAAAGATAAACATAGAAGTGGTCACAAAGGGGAAATTATCTTCTCATGTCCTGTAATTCCATCTTTCTGTTTCTTCTTTCCACTGAGTGTGTGCAATGGTCATTGCTCAGCTAGCAAAACTCACTAAGTTTTTACTCTCTGTGCAGTATCTTTTCTGGGACAGACTTCTCAGTGGCAGCACCCACTGTTTTTTAACAACAACTCTTTCCACTTGAAAATGGGTTTGCTGGTGTATTTATTGTCTCATTCTTTGAGAATACTCTACTGTATTTGGAACCCAGAACTGCAACATTTGCTCAGTGCCTATGCCTGTACAGAAAGAAATCATGGAATACTAGCTGAGTCAGTGATAGAAACTGCATTGTTCTGTATCTTTCCTACTCCAAAGCTTCTACCAGAAAAACAACAGTGAGCATGCCTCAGCATTTAACTTGTTCAGCACAATGAAGGGAAAGGTGTGAAGATGGATTGCACAGTAAAGCACTCTCAAGGTATAACAGAAGTCCTGGGTTTGATCTCCAGCACTACCCCTTCTTACATGGAAGAAAAGAAAGGAAATCAGTGCAAGGACGGGAAATGTGTACAGCTTTTGTAGCATCACTGTCCACTTGCACTTAGAGCAAAATTGGTATTGGGACAGCTCTCTGGCTTTCCTGTGACTTGGCAAAACCTTTCCTCTCTTTTATTTTTTAAAGAACTTCTATCTATCTATCTATCTATCTATCTATCTATCTATCTATCTATCTATGTATCTATCTATCTACTTACCTACCTATCATGTACATATGTACGTACGTACGTACGTACGTATGTATGTATGTATGTATGTTTGTTTGTTTGTTTGTTTGTTTGTTTTTGAAGGTAGTACTTCGTTATGCAGCCCTGGGCTGGCCTGGAAGTTGCAGTGATCCCAGCCTGCTCCTGAATGCTGAAACTACAAGCATGCAACACTTGCCAAGCTAGCATCCTTTCTAATTTGTTTAGTTTTTTACCTTTTGGAACAAGAATTGGGTGACAAAAGAAGTAAGTAGTGCTCAGTCCTTTATTATAATTTCATCATAGGTTGAAGAGTAGCTTTCTAGTTTCACTCAGTGCAACTTGAACATGGCTGATGATGTGTCTAGTTATCTCCAGTGGCTCAGAGTCCCCTACAGTAGCTAGTGATCCAGATAAGGGCTGTCTTGTTGCCTAGATACTAGGTGAATGTAATTTGAAAACCAAAGGAATATTCTCCATAAGCATGAGACTCTCAGAAGCAGTGGTAACATATCCTTCTAGATGTGTTACATGGAAGTGAATTGACATGAAGATGAGTTCCTGTCGGTGGCTAATGTATACTGATGTCTTCTGTATCAGGCACAAAGATAAAAGAGCACCCTGCATGCTGGCCTTCTCCTTGTGAACAGCGAGTCATCTCCAAACTGTTTCGAATCTGCAACCCTTTCAGTAGAACCTGTGGACACAGCCTTGAAAAGTATTGATACTAAATTTGTTTAATAATATGCGTACCATGCACCAACTATGACTGTAACTGATAAATTTGAAAACTAGAGGTTTAAAAAGGATAACTAGAAGTTTGTATTTTCAAAAGCTTCTAGGAGGGCAGGAGAGATGGCTCAGTGGTTGAGAGCCCTGACTGCTCTTCTAGAGGATGTGAGTTTAATTCCCATCACCCACATGGTAGCTCATGGCTGTCTGTGGCTCTAGTTTCAAGGGACCTGACACACTCACACAGACATATATGCAGGCAAAACACCATTGCACATACAAACAAAGGCTTCTAGGGCAGTGGTTCTCAACCCTCCAAATGTTTCCACTCTTTAATGCAATGCCTCATATTGTGGTGACTCCCAACCATCAAACTATTTTGTTGCTATGTCATAACTACAGTGTGTTACTGTTATGAATCCTAGTGTAAATATCTGGTATGCAGGGTATCTGATATGTAAACCCTGTTAAAGGGTCATTCAACCTCCGAAGGGGTTGTGACCCACAGGTTGAGAACCACTGCTCTAAAGCATAATAGCTTAACATTATTAATAGATATTGTCTCAAGAGTCATCAAGAGTGGGTTTACTGTAGATGATATGATCAGATTACATTGAGAATTGATGGTGCAGAAATATTTATATCCATCTTCCTTACTATCTGTCCTCAGCCTCTCCCAAACCCTGCCTCAGCTTCTTCCAAGAAGAAAGCCTCATGTAGCCCAGGGCAACTCTGAATCCACTAGTAACTGAGGATGTTCTTGAAATACTATTCTTCCTGCTCCTACATCCCAACTCATGAGATACTGGGCATTTGCTAACATGCCCAGATAATTCTTTTCTAATAACAATAAAGGATCATTTTAGACTGAAATACCTGAGATTTGAGAGTTAAAGAATATAACAATGGTCTGCCACATTGTACATATTAACAAATAAGTTCCGTTACTTTGGCCTTTTCTTTTGGTTGGTCTTATTTGTTTGGTTTTTGATACAGGGTTGGGATCCATAACTTTGGATGGCTTGTAACTTGTGTATCCTGGGCTAGGTTCCAACTATCAGTAATTCTCCTGCTTCTGCCTCTTGAGTGCTGGGGTTATAGACACCCATCTCACTTTTTGTTAAATTGCATCAAGCTAAGTCTAGGAAATTCTAGGAAGTATATGTTTAGTATGGACTTTTAAGAACTGTTATACTGTAGGATAGTGGAAAGACAGCATGCTCACCCTTGAAGATGGAAGACTACAAGCCTCTAGTGCAGTTTCAACTCGCTTCCGGTCTGCTGAAAACAATCGGTAGATGCTACAAAGTGAAAGCATTCATGAGAGCTGGTTAAAAGGTGATGTGGTTTATTGCACACACGGATGACCCTAACTCAAAATATTACACAGAGTGAAAGTTAGGTATCTTTGAATAGTAAAAAAAAAAAAAAAAAAAGTCAAACATTTCTCTGCATGTCTGCATCTTTTCTCAAGATCTATGTGTATCTTTTTAAAGACTTATAGGGTCTGATATAAAATAAATATTCCATGACAGTGAAGATGACCTACTGAAAGTTATTGCACTAACTAACTTTTCACATTAATTCCTAAAATAAATGACTTTCCCAGTCTTCCCAATCTTGTCCCTTGTACCCATTGCCTCCAATGACACACTGTGTAGAAGCTCCTGCTGGCTACTATGGCAGTGCTTAAGGACTTCCAGACAACATTTTCTAACCATGCATTTTCTTTGCTAGGAATTGAATACAGTGATTTGGATTTGTACACTCCATTCATACATTAGAAAACTCAGTCTGGTGCTCACCACTTCTGTAGGGTAAGATGATCTGCCATCTTGCTTATACTGGCTGTTCTTTGTAGCTCTCTTCTTGCTCTGTGTTGCCACTTGAGCTCCCTGCCTGGCTCCCTTATCTACTTGACATTAAGTGACCCAAAGGGGTACCAAAGTTACAGAATTTATACTCCTAGGACCGATCGGAACCGCAGGTAAATTCTGGGATTGACACAGTGTGGTTTCTTCCCTATCCCCTCTACCCACTTCCTACGCGCTCTCAAAAATCACTCCACAGGAAGTGGTGGTCAGGGAAGTGTCATGAGGAAGCCAGCTGCTCTTGCATGAGACTAGCATGACGGAGGACAGGGCTACCACACCATTTCCATGCTCCCACTCAGCCTGGTGAAGAAATAAACCAGACTTATGGCATAGATTCAAGATTTTGGGACAAAGCAGATGTATGACAGGAAACATGGCTGGAACTTACTTTTTGAGAGGAATGCGCCCTTCTGGAGTGACCTGAAGCTTGAGCTTAGTGTATCTGTTGGAAGAGCAAAAAAGTTAGTCATTTCATTTTTAAAAATACTGAAAATAGAATACAAGAAGAACTCAAGTCCATGTGCAGAGTGTTGAATTCACAGAACTATCCCAAACCTCGAAACTGGTACTTGGATGGTGACATGGAGCTAAGTTTTCTTAGAAGCTTCCCAGAAATTCCCCTCATGTCTTCTTTCGGAGTCTTCCACAAGTCACTGGAATGCTTACATTAAACAGCAGAGATTGTCTTTGCTTTTTGTCCCTACATAAAATGTGATCATGTTTTCGGTCTGGCTTCTTTCCCTCAGTGTTGACTCTGTGACACCTATCTGCATCTTGCTTAGTTATCATAGTTTGCTCATAAGAAATTCACAAAGAACATAAGGACTGGATTTATTTCTTCATCAGCCTACAGACACACAGGTGGAGAGCTAGAGAATCAGGACTCTCAACTACTGCTAGCAGAGCGTCAGTAGGGAATGCTGCTTTGGGACACTGCCTATGCTGTGACCCAGAGACACCACACCCAGATTTGTACATAACACATGCATCAAAACTCATGTGTTACAATTCCCACAGCAGCCCTCACCAGGGTCATTCATCTGCATAGACATTTTCAGTAGATTATGATTAGTCAACCAGTTTCACCATGCTGTGTCTCAGCTTGAACATCCTATTTCTCTGTCTCTTTCATTCACACTGTGTAGAAAATAAATGTTCTAGAAATATTTGTTGGATGAAGGATGGTAAGTAAGATGAACACGATAAAGAGAAGGAGGAAGGAAGGTAAGAGGCATGCTGGGAGTATCGTTAAGGTAACAAAATTAGGAGAGGGGATTATTCCAAGATGAAGCATTTGAGTAAAGACCTGTGACCAAAATTCACATAAGAACAAAACAGAAAATGCCTGACATGAGGTCTAAAACAATGGCTATGGTGCTGGAACAAGAGTGAAGACAGAAATCTATTCAGTGAATTAAAGGCATGCCTATTAATATTTCTGCTTGTGGTTTTGATTTAAAGGTCCCCCAGGCTCCTGAACCACCAGACTCACCAGGAGGAACACACCCATCTCCCTGCTGCTCATCTGGCATGAATCACTATTTTCCTTGGTCAAATAATTTTTAGAAAGGCTGCTTCAATCCAGGGTGATTTTCTAATCTTATTTCATTTTTTTCCTGTTATTTTCTTTCTTCTTGCCCTTTCTATTCTCTCTCTCCTCTATCACTTGGTACAACAGTGTCTAATGTCTGGAATTCCATTATCAATCCAATGAATGAAGGAGGTAGGAAGTTCTTGTGATATCCACCAAAATTCTCCAAATCTAGAATAAACGGGACATATGCTGTCTGCTCTCTTCAAGCGTTACTAAAAGAGAGAACACAAGCGAAGGCAGTAGAGGATGCTCCAAAAAGAGCAACTCTGTGTTCTGAGTGCAGCTGCCAGAGTTTGGAGGTATCTCCTCTTATATGTCAAAAGCCCTGATGTTCAGTCACCCCAGCCTGATGTACACTTAGGGAAAGGGCCACCTCTCCTGGAAGTCTTCCAAGCCTTAACAGTAGAGGAATCTGTCCTCCAACCTATCCCAAAGGGAAATAGATGTTTATGAATTCGAAAAGACCAGGCAGCATAAACAAAGACTCACAAAGGATAAAGGAAATGGATTCAGAAGAAGCAACACCCTTAGCAATACAATAGGAGTGACTTACGCTTTCTCCAGAAATGCGTCCCTGGACATGTTCTGAGCCAGGAGGTTTGTTGCCAAGCTGAAAACCTCACTTGTCCATTCCTGAAAAATGTAAGTCACACTTGAATTAGTTTCAATATTATTCAGGTGTAAAATATGCTTTTAACTTGTCTTCCAGTAAGACAGACAAATTAAATCAGGTTGGGTGTGAAGAGTTTCCCACCCACCCCCTCTTCTTTTTTAAATGTTATAACTAAATTCATGTCTAAGTGATTCTCTTTTAACAAGGAAATGTACAAATGATGATACAGTTTTCTGTCCTTTAAGTCCCTCATTGATAAAACTGCTGTGCTCCAACAACTGTACAGGTTTTACTAATTTTTTAATTATGAATACATACATGAATAACAGAAAAGTTTAAAATGTGGCAAATTTATTTTCAACGGAATTGAAAAAAAATATTCCTACTTTACCACTCACAAAGTGGAGATTTCTGTGTTAACTAATTCTTAGCCAGATGCAGACAAAAAGCAAAAATGTGGTAGCATCAAAAGCCCATTTCCAGGATAGGCAGTGAGGAGATAGCCAGGATGAGGCTGGGCACTGGGGGTTTACCTGACAACAATGAAATGGAAATCTGAGACTGAGCATGCAAAGAACTCAGCTGGGGGGCTGCAGCAGTGCAGGTGAGGAATACTGACCTTTGACCTTTACAGATTATCCAGTGGGGATTTAGAACAGCACATGATTGCTATGGGCTGAAGATAAAATCATCCACTATGAAACTTAAAGTGTACGCAGAAAAGCATCAAGACAATGTTTTTAATGGCATGGGGAGCCGTTTTACTAAAATTAGATGATTTGAGTAAACTAATATTGGCATTGGCTTTAAACATTTGTTTCTTTTGTAGTATTTTCTGGAACAAAGATCAAAGTTTAGATTTCTCTATGGCAACTTTATGTAGCAGTGAAAGTACTTAAAATTGAAGTTATTGTGTGGTTTTGTGGGTTTGTTTAGAGCAGCTGTTCTTAACCTGTAGGTGTCGACGCATCAGATGTCCTGCATATCACATTATATATTATGATTCAAAAAGTAGCAAAATTACAATTATGAGGTAGCAACGGAATAATTTTAGGGCTGGGGGTCAGTACAACATGAGGAACTATCTTAAGGGGTCGAAGCATTGGGAAGGTTGAGAACTACTGGTTTAGAGCTAATTTCACACCAAATACAAAAGGAATTAAAAATATTTCTAAAAATTTAATTTTAGTTTGACATGTTAGGCTGAAAAACTAAATCTTTCACTGTATCCAATAAAAGTATAATGTGAGCCAAATGGAACTCTGAATTTTCTAGTAACCAAATTTAACAAAGGGAAAAGTACATAAAATTATTTTTAATAAGATATTAATTTAGATCAGTATTTTACTGTTTGAGTACCTCTGTGGCATTTCAACAAGAAAATTCACATAACTTCATATGATTGGCCAGTATAAATGTAGATGTAAAAATAAAAATATTGTATAAAAATGACCTCCCTGCTATATATAGAAGGTAATTATGAAACAAATTAGCTTCATGTTTAGACTGGAATTCTATCCTCAAGATTTCTCATTAGATTGGAGGAAAATGGAAAAAAATTCCAGAATCAGAGGCATTTCTGGTGGCTGTGACTGCCAATTGGTCAGCACAGGTCTTCTACAGCCATTGGTCTCTCTATGGCTCTTTTGAAGAAGAAAACAGCATGTCTTACTTTGGGTTGCTAGAAACAGATCCTGAGGTGAGGGTTTATGAGGATTGGGCTTATTATAGTGTTCCATGGCAAAATTAGAGTAGTAAGCAGGAATAGTCAAAGAGGAGTGAGAAGGCTGAAAACCAAGCAAGGTCCCAACAAGACCGACAATGGTTTATCCCACCTTGTGTAGAGGATAAATCAGGTCTGAGTTTGCTGATAGGTGAGCAAGAGTGTGGGTGTGGAAATGATTGTGCTTGTTAGGTTTGGTGAAGGGCTCCACAAAGAGACAGAGAAAGCCTCAGGCACATTGGTCTCCTTGCTATCAAAGTGTGTTCCAGCATCCAGGAGAGCAGCCAGCAAAGGCACCTGCTGACAGTGAAAGTCGAATCAGAAAGAACAAGGACAGCATTCTGCTAGGATCCTTCCCAAATAGTAACTAGTGTTTTTAGGATTTCTGAGTAATGGAAGTAGCCACCTTATACAGGAATGAACATACAACCAAGCTCTGGGGTAACCGGTTCATGAATGGAACATTTTTCAAGTTTCATGTGTATTTGCATCAGGGGTTTTGCTGAAGAGCATTTGCACCTTCAGTGGGACTGAGAAGGAGACAGAGATTCTGTATTACTCAGGAGTTTCTGGTTAAGGTCTTTGCTGCACCACGGTATGAGTGGCCATGTCCTCGGGTGGATGTATAGCACTCTGGAAAGCTTGTTAGAAATGTTGATTTCAGGCTCCACACTGCATCAGAGTCTATACTTACCCAGGAAATCTTTGTGTGTTTTATGTGTATCAACATTTAAACATACATCTGGACCAAAAGCAGTTTGTTGAATAGAAGGACACTCCAGGATCTGGCTTGGGAAGCTTTGGCCCAGTCTTTGTTTATTCCCTTTGCAAGCAAATAAATAGATGATTTGGGGCTGTTGAGTTTTGCACAGCCCCCAAAGACTTTGCAGCTGTGTTAGGAACAACATGGTTAAAGAGAAAGGGGCCAGAGTATAATGCAGAATAAGAAAGCAAGAGTCCCTGCTTGGAATCAGATTACTGGTGCCTTGGACTTCAAACCTGAAATCATCATGAGAATATGGAATATGCTTTGCTGTGGGACCACTGGATCTTACTGGGACCTTGTTTTCATAAATCCAGTGCCTAGTGTGTACTACCATGGCCTGAGAAGGGAAGCTTCTTTGTTGTAGAGGACCTGTTCTTTTCCTTTCAGAAACAAAATATTGAAGTCACTCAACTTGGCTTGGCCCCAGCTATTTAAATCCTGACATTTCCTGTCTTAGCTTTAAACTCCCCTTTGGGACAAAGACCTTAACCTGAGAAGATGACTAAAGAGCAACTGTAGTGGAATTCTGTTGGAGGTTCGGGGCTCCTGTTTCTATCCTTCTCCATTCCCTCTCCTCTCATATGTCAATTTAGACAGATTCAAATGCACTATGCCTACCACATCATGAAGGTAGTGCCCTTTTATTTCTAAAGCTTTTTAAGTCCTGAAATTTGTGGTATATGATTTCATGTGTTTGCTTAATAATATGAACACTTATTAGTCATGAGTATCAATTACACTGCTGACGACTGTTTGAATATTTACTACATTCTGAAGGAAGATCTTTGCATCCAGTAACTGGCTCTCATAATATTTTTCTAGGAGATGGGTAGCTATTATCTTCATTTTACAGAAAGGACTCATGAATTCAAAGCACTTATAATTTGTCTTGGAGCCAATACAGTCACTGCTTGGGATCAGAACACTGGTTTCTTAGACTTCAAATCTGAATTCTTAGATGCCGGGTTCATCATTGTGTTGTTCTAGAATAATTTTAAACAGATAAATAAACCAATGAAATATATTCAATAGCCAACATTAATTTATACCTCCCTATGGCCATATGTTGTAAACATTTTATAAATAACTAACTCATAATCCTCACAATGCCTTCAGAAAGGAAGTCTGTTGTCAACACCACATTTTGCAGGTGAAAAAGCTGATTTGGAATTGTTCAATAAATAGCATAAGGTAAACACAGACAGTCATGGATGCTTGGAATCGGAACCTGGGTTTGCCTCTATAGTCAAGTGTTTTACCACTACCTTACAAGGATCAAATGAACGAAGGAGGGGAGAAACAAGAAATGATCTAACAGAGGGACTATGAGGCCAGCCACAGAATGCAGAGCTGACCGACGTCTGGCAGCCCTGATGGAGATGGGCACCAACTCAACTCAAATTTCCTGTAGTTCATGTACAAAGAATAAAGAGAAGGATTCAGCCCTGACATGATTCATCTTTGTCCTTCATCCAAATACCATCATGCAGTAGTTCAATGAAATGCCCCCAGTTCTGAGAACAGGAAGAAATTCTCCAGGGCCAATTCACCGTCTGGCTAAGAAGAGTAAACATACAAAGACTGTGTCTTTGGAAAGAAGTGTCATTCTCGCCAATGTTTCTGTTTTCTCCTCTTCTGATTCATGTTATTTCAAATGCTCTAATGTATTTATGTTACCTTTCATTTTTATTTCATTTTTTGTTATACATACAAAATACTGGACTGATGTAACTAACATGTATATCTACCTATCCAAATTTGAGAAACATTAACATTTTGTCACAGTTCCTTAATTACATATTTTTCTTAAAAATTTCTTAATTACTTAAAACCACTGCAAACTGTTGCCATACAGTTTAAATTGATTCTTCCCTAAAATCTCCCTTCTTTTAATTCTCTTTCCAGAAGCAAGCTCTAGTCTGAAAGGTAAATATCAACACTGCATCTATTTTTATATGGCATTCTGAAAAGGGTGGTATAGTTCTAGTTCAGGATCTCTCTGCATAGTCCTGGCTGTCCTATAACTTGCTCTATACAGCAGGCTAGTCTTGAACTTGCAGAGATCCACCAGCCTCTGCCTCCCAAGTGCTGGGATTAAAGATGTTGTTAGCATGTCATCTGATTTATAAACAAAGTTTTATTGGAACATAGACACACTTCTCACTTCTGCATTGTTTGTGGCTGTGTTCATGCTATAATGGTAGAGGTGACTATTTATAATGGAACCTACCCTGAAATGTCAATACTATGAAAGCCCCCATCATAATATGGCCCCCTCTATGTTTGAGATTCAGTGGATGAGTTCCTGTTTGTAATCAATATTATGTCTTTAAAACTAGGCTGTTGCACATAGGTCTAGTTCATTTTAACTCCCATATTCTTCCATTGCAAGAATGGATAATTTGAGAATCTCTCTGTTTTTATTGATGGATATTTCTTTTTAAATATTTGTTTTTTTGCTTCACTTTTCTTAGGACATAGCCAAATGATTATTGTGAAGAGACTAAAGAATTCTAGGATTCCAGCATTTT